AAGCCGACAAGCAGTGGGCCGTCCAGGCCTTGCCCACCAAACCTCTCTGACCCGCCCATAAGTGGCCCAGCAAGCTTCTGGGCATGTGCAGAGTGCTTTCTCTTCAGTGCTGTAGCCTACACCAGTCCCCCTGAGATGAAAAGTCCCATGGGGTTTGTGAGTTTTGAGAAAGGGACGGGGAAAGGCGAGTTCTGAGAAAGGCCCCTTTGCCCTAGTCTACGAATGAGAAAGGGATGGAGGAGAAACAGGCCGGACGGACATCTTCTGCCACAGAGTCGCTGGCCAGCAGGCCTGCCAGTCTCTGGGGAGCACCGGGGAGGCAGAGACAGGGCAGCCCCCGCCAAGCTCAGGCTCTCCTGATCCGCTTGATTAGAGCGTCCGTTATCCATTCAGGGTTGCAAAAAAGCCCTCTGTGCATGCCCAGGGATATGCTCAACTATTCCAAGAATGCTCCACAGACTGCTTTTTCCAGGCAGAGTTCAGCAGGCAGGTTTTGGCCCAGTCGAGTTTGGCCCGACACGCTTGGAGAAATCTTCCAGCAGCACCTCTTGTCTCCCATCATGATCCCCACGATCCATGCGAGGCCATGTGGGCAGGACACCGAGCGGGGGAGGGCCACCCTGAAGCCCCTGCCAGGTCGCCCCCCCCCATATGCACTGCACCGGGGGGAGACAGCAGCACTGCTGTCACGGAGATTTGCAAGACGAAAGCGGCAGAGACGAGCGGCCTCAATCGAGACGCTGCGGTAAAATAGGTCACTGCAGCTTGCAAGAGCACGTGCAGAGGGAGTGCGGCCCTGGTGCCACGGCCTCCCCGTGTGCTCCCACGCAAGTGGGACGAGAGGCGCCGCGCTTCAGTCTCGAGCGCCACACTCAGAGGAACGTGGACCCTCCGCACGCCCTCACCCGCGCCCTCTGCGGCAGGCCGTGCGTGCGCTCCTGGGCTCGCCGCTAGGCATCTGAAGGGACACCCGCTCCCTTGCACCGAGCAGAGGCAAACCTGCCTCTGGGGCTGCCCCATGGACATGCATCGGACCGAGCGGAGCACATGGCCGCCGAGGCCCAGGCCGGCAGAGCTCCAGAGTGCGCGGCTCCTCTGGCCAAAAGGGCATTTTCCCCACTGTCGTGGGAGGGGGAAGCTCCGCCCGAGAATTCTTCCTCCTACAGGGCAGAAAAGAGCAGGACATGGGTGCCTGAGCATATGCAGAGCTGCTTACTATCTCAGGACGCCTTCCTGAACGCACTACCATGCTCCTGATTCCGTGTTAACCAGCAGTTTTATTCTTATTTTCTCTTCTTTTTATTGTACCAGGTTTGGAATATCTGTACCAGAATACTGAGGGGCAGATCAACTAAAGAAATAAAGCAGTAAAGCCGAGAGCCAAAGAATGCTGGCTCTGGTAACCAGAGCACTGCTGGGCACTGGAAAGATCCGGGTTTAAGCGCACAGAGCATGAGTGCACACATTAGTATGTGCCGATACACAATGACTCTGAAGTCTCCATCTCTCCCTTTCTGTCACACACCAATGGGGGGCAGAGTCGGTCCCCCAAGGGCCCCCTGTGGAAGGGGGAGGGAATGGCACTTGATTTCAGAAGACATGCTCAGGCAGAGATGTCTGTGGGGGAAGCAGGGGTGGGCCAGAGAGGCAACCAGGACCCGGGATCGTTATTTCAGGCCATGTCCCCGGCAGCAGGGTGGTGCGGGAGAAGCTTCCCCAAGATTCCGGGCTGCAGCCTTGAGGGGCCACCCTCTAACACCCGCCTGCAGACAGCAACTCTGCCCCACAGAAAGAGCAAGCCATAAGAGAGACACAGCAAAGTGTTGGAATAACTGGAAATGGGGAAGGTCAAAAAAGGAGGGACCCCTGGAAGCGGGAGCTGCAGACGCGCCCCTGCCGCACCTCACTGGGAAGCCGCGACCCTCCAGTCCATCGCCCACGGGGCCGAGAGGAACCGCCTTCCGCAGGGAGTCTCCTCAGTGGGGAGTGAGGGGTGCAAAGCTCAAAACGCTGGCACAACACCCGGAAGGTAGGCTTTGTGAGAGAGGCAGGAGTGAAAACCTGGCCTCAGGCCTAGCAGGAGCTCAGCCTGGCTCCTGGTGCTCGCACGTGCACGCTTGCACCCCACTCATAAACAGAGCAAAGGAAGGTGCAGCCATGGCCCAGCGCCCGGGAGACACCGCACGGAGCAACACCTACTAGTTTAAAACATCTCTACCCCATATTCACCCAAAATGGGTCTCAAGACAGCTCATAAACCAGCCACAGCACATTAAAACAGAATATAAGATACAAAGTAAAATTCCAATTATAATAAGCCATCATCCCTTAAAATACTGGGAAAATAAAAAGGGGTTGCCAAAAAGAATAAAGCAACCTCTCTGGGGAGCAGATTCCAGAGCCAGGGGCACCACAGAAAAGGCTCTTCCAGCCCCCTTCAGAGAGAGGTCCTGAAGACGACTTTCGTGCTTGGGCAGGTGTAGACGGCATCCCTTCAAATAACTCCTGCGTTTCCCCCAAAGCGAAAGAGGCCCTAGGGGCATGTCAAAGGGAGAAGGCAAGTCAAGCCCAGGTGAGGCACGCCGCCCTCACTCCTGCCTTTGCAACCGGAGGGTCACACGTCTTGGCTCTGGACGCCCAAGCTGGCTTCCAGCCCCATCCTTTCCAGAGGCAGAAGAGTATGCGGCTGGGGGGGGGGGGTGCCATCATTCCCCATTCCACAAAGCTAACGGCCCTGCCCTCCTTCACTACGAGGATCCAGTCCTTGTGCTGACAGGAAATGCTTGAGGCTGGTCGAGGCAGTGGCTGAAAGCGTTAGGTAGAAAAACAGAACCTCACCATCGGAAGAGCACTAATTATTTGCTTCATCCTGGAACAGGGAAATCGTGTAGTGTTTTGGCTCTCTGGCAGGGGAAGGCGAAGAGCTGCAAGGGGGTATTTAACACACGTACCTCAGGCGCCCCTCTCCAGCATCTCTGACTCTGGCCATCTTAGACCTCCATGGTCGCACTCTTCAGCAGACCCGCTTCCGACAGACCCAGGCTGAGACCCTCTGACCAGCAGCTGGACTAGTGCTCCCATCGCTGCCGGCCGAGCTGGCCAGGACCCATGGGAAACGGAGTCCAACCAACATCCATCGGGCCAGAGAGGGATGCTGCTACTCCTGCATCCTCAGCATTTCTACATGCCTTGCTTGCTAGCTTTCTACATGCAGGAAAGGGCTGTGAAGGGGGAGCACCTCGTCAGGCGGTCTCCAGTTTGCAGTGGAACGGGACAGCCCAAGAAGCGTTCCTGGGCTTGCTTTTCAAAGCCATCTGATTCACGGTTTGTAACAGCCAGGCTAAGCCTGGGAGCAAATTCCAAGACATCTGAATTCGGAAGAGCTCCTGCCACTGATGTGCCGCGGGGATCTTCCTCCTGCTCCTGAAGCACCTGTGCCCTTGCCCTGAAGAGCAGCAGCAGCGGATCCACTGAGACACAGAGAGATTTCAGGGTGTTTTGCAGATCAGCAAGGAATCCAGACTCCCAATTATTCAGCTACAACATTAAGACCCTCCCCACCAAATTTTGGGTACTCCCAATGGGCAAATGCCAGCTCTGTGCCTTTTCCAGCCTTCAGCAACAGCCTCCGCTCAGTCTTGTTGCCTCCAGCGAAGGGGTGGTTCCACTGCGACGCCCTCCCTCCCGCCCCCAGCAGCAAGACGAGCCCCCGAAGCCGTCGCACTCCGCTGCGCCGGTCTTCTCCTCAGCACTGGCTGCAAGCGGTGAAATGGCGAACTGGCGCCCTGCCAGGAGTGGTGGCTTCTGCGAGCGCAACGACGAAACGGGCCTGCACTGCCTGAGTGGCGGTTAGGAATAGGCTCCCAGGCTATTCCATTTGCACCCGAGCTGTTATGCTGCATGTGTTCTTGTGCCGGCCCTCCTCCGAGCGGCATCCTTCCTCTTTGGAGGCCTGCTGCTGGCTTCCTATATTGGCATCTGCTGTGTGGTGATGGGGCACCAGGACAGGGAGGCAGATTCCACACCACTTCTGGCTGTGGAATTCACACCCTGTAAGTCCAGCCAAGGCAACCTGCGAAACCCACTGCAGGTAAGGAAAGGAGGGTGGTATTTAAAGCTGCCTTCCTCAACCAGGCGCTCCCCAAAAGTGCTGAAGTGCAACAGCAATCATTTCTAGCCAGCAGGGCCAGCTGGTCTGCAGGGAGATGGCTAATTTGTTCTTTCTGTTCTCATTTCTCCATCCTGAGCCTTTGGGGAGCAGGAGATTAGACATGCAACTCCAAATGCAACCCAGGAGTGTTGACCAGGGCCCAAATCATTCCCAGCCAATCTGGGAAGAAAGGCTTGCAAAGCTGCCTGTATCAGCCTGGAGGTTGGCATGTGCTCTTCTCCGATCCGCTTTCCAAGGATCGCACTCCTTAGTTTCATTTAACATGCTTGTTCTCAATAAAAAAATCCTAATTGTTGATGGTTGAACAAGGATGAGAATTGCCCAGAGTTTATGGGAATGAGGCGACGTATGAAAATCGAAATAAATAAATGACACTGCCACACTGAAACTGCCACGCCCAAACTCATCCCTGAAGCCATGGCATGGTTTGCTGCTGGCTTGCAGCCTGGCTGGACTTTGCATGGGAACCCAAAACACCCCCCCCCGCACCGCACCCGCACCCCCATTTGTGCTGCTGCCTGCCTTGAAGGGGGGGTAACAAGAAAGCTTGAAAATGAAACCACCTTAAACTCTGCCAAAATAGGCAGGAGAAACAACAGGGAAGCTAAGCCACAATGCTTGTTCTTCAGCAAGTCAATTTGTGGAAGCAGCGGCGTGATTAACACAAACTGCAGCTCAGCATCTAATGCTAAGACAGCCGCTCCCGCAGTCCACCTCAGAGCAAGCCCTGCAGTCGGAGACTCCCTCGGCGGAAGCCTGCCCTTTAGAGCTGAACACGTGCTGTGGAAGAAATGGAACTATGTGACAGCAAAGAGCCAGGATGAAAGTGTCTGACTCCAAAACCAAATTTATTAAAAGCTATTTACATAGATTGCAAGTCATTTACCTTGCAAACTGCTGGCTGTGGCTCCCCAGGAGACTCAACTTGCTGTCGGGGGTGAGGAGAGCGGTGCCCTTCCTAGCAGGCCACCCCCGGCCCCTTCCAAGTCCACCAACCCAGCAGAGGAGCCCCCCGGCAGGTTGCTGCAGCAGTCTGGCCCAGCCCTATATGCAGAACAGGGGGCCCGACTGGGGCAGGGGTGAGGGGCAAGCTCTTCTCAGGTCTTTATGGCCGTATCCCGGGATTTGTAGGCCACACCGCGGCTCTTCAGCTCTCGCACAATGCCTGGAGCAAAGAAAAGCAGAGCTCGTTAAGGGAACAAGGGAGAAGCGGGGCAGCCAGCACGGGACCCAGAGCAGCAGCCACCTCCCATCGCTTGCCAGAGCAGGGGCAGGCGCTGCTAAGGGCAGAAGGGTGGCCTCACCAGGCAGAACCCAGCGGGGCCCACAGCCTGCCTCCCACAGCGGAATCTGGTCATTGCAGCCAGTGACCCTCTGCACTGCCTCTGATGCTGGAGCGACCGGGCAGCTGTCTGGGCCAGCAGCCCTGGAAAGCCCCTCCTGCAGGCAGGTTTCCAGTCCCCTTGAAGCCCTCCTGGCTGGTGGCCGTCGCCACTTCCTGTGGGAGTGAACTGCAGGGTATAAGTGCAAGCGGTGGGAAGAAGTTCTCCCTTGGATCTGTCCTTCAGCTTCAGCCCAGTTGGGTTCCAGTATTATGGGGCGGGGAGAAAACATGCCCTTCCCCCATCTTTCCACACTGGGCACAGCTCTGAACCCCTCTGCCGTGTCGGAATCGTTCCGCACAGGGGCGTTGTTCCAGCCCCCAGACCGTCTGCAGCTCTCCTTTCTGCCTTCCTTCCAACTCTACAGCACCTTTTTACGTACTGCGACCGGATGGGCATCCAGCACGCAGCGTGTGGCTGCAGCAAACGCTTGCTCGGGAGGAGGAGGTCCCCAGCGGTTGTCCCTCCAACGCCTTTCCGCGCCCCGCAGAGCGCGTGCCCTTTGCAGAGGAGCCGCACGCTGGCCCACGCCACAGCACCAAGGCCTCTTCTTGGTCGGATCCCCCAGCTTGTGCCGGGATCTGGGGGGCCAGTGCTGTCCCCACGAGCTTTCAAGAGCCCCTGCTCGCCCTTCCTCACCAGGATTTGTCCGTAAGCTCTTTCCCCCTCCGAGAAGCACAGACATGCACTGGCCCCATGACAGGCAGCGTGCAGCTGCCAGAGCGGGAGCTGCAGGCGTGTGAGGAAAGGTTCTTAGGCCAGGACCGGCAGGAGCTATGCAAAGTACCTTGCGGCAGACGGCCCGTCACGGACACGGCATACACGCCCGGCTTGAAGTTACCTGAGAGAAGACAGCTGGTGTTATTCTGGCCGAGTGCTGCAGGAAGAGCCCACGTGGCCACGCAGAGAAGGGGAACTAGCCTGCATGGCTGTGAAATGCTTTGGACCTGACCTTCCACCCAACCCTCTGTGAGCCTGGGAGGTTTCCGGAAGGACCCCAAGCTCTCTAGATTCAGAAGGGCAAAGGACCGAAAAGGCCCTGGCAAGCTGCACAAACAACAAAGCAAAGCACAGAAAGGGCGCTTCAAGTGCAAACGGGGGAACCTCCGTCATATACAGATGGACAAGCCTGCACAGGACCAGTGATATGCAAGTCGCACTGTGTATGCTGGAAAGTGTTAGAAACACAGAAGCAGAGCGAGTCGGAAGGGGCCTCCCGGGCCATCTAGTCTGACCCCCGGCTCCAGCCGGCTCCGCTCACGACATGCCCACCATGTGCATGTCCAACCTGTCCTTGAACACCCGCACCGATGGGGCCTCAGCCACCTCCCGAGGAAGCCCATTCCACACCCTCGGGGTCCCGACTGTCAGGAAGTGCTTCCTGGCATCCAAATTGGACCTTGGCTCCCTGGGCTTTGTTCCATTGGAGCGCGTCCTGCCTTCCTCTGCAGGAATGATGCAGTAGCCTAAACTGACTCCTTCAAAAGGTAGAAGGAACGTTCCCCTCATGCAAAGGCAGTGAAACGCACCAGAGATGCTAGAATTGTTTGTCCTAGGCCATTTCGTCTGCTCCCAAGTGCCCTTTACAGCACAAAGGTGGAACAGCCTCACTCCCCAAAGACATTCCTCTCCGGGCTTCTGTGTTGGCCTTTCAGGCCCAATTCATGGTGGCCCTGCCACACAGCTTCCAGACTGTGATGCCTAGATGCCTCTTGTGTCTCTGCTGCTGGCACTGTTTTACAAGCTTTCAAGAGGCCATATGGCAATACTGATTTTGACTGTATCTTTTTCAGTATGCCTCACTGGCCTCCAGGAAACTCTTAACCCAAGCAGAGTTGCAAATCCTTTAATAACAAGAATCCCTCCCACTCCAAACTCACCATACCAAATTATATTCATTAGGAAAGTGGTTGTAGCTTGAGAGGTGAAGTTTTGCTCCTGACTTAGGAGTTTTCCAACAGGAAGTCAGACTGAATTTGACCCTACCTGAACCAAGGTGGGCAAGGACTTACTGATGCGCTGCCACTTGGAGACCCAGCTGTCCTCAGGGCTCATCATGGCAATGATGCTGCAAAAGGAGGTGACACCTCAGAGCAGAGCAAACTGAACGCTCAGTCCCTAGCCCTGCCAGGCCGTATGGCTGGGCAGGAACCCTGCAGAGTCGCCACAAGCACACCAAAGCAACTTCTCCTACGCCAGTACAGGACGGTGGCAAGTAGAGGTTGCGTCTTGCTTTTTGACCAGAGATCCCTTCCATGGACGTATTCTGCCATTTTCAGTGTGCAAAACAACAGCTTCTCCCAAATCAGTCACCAGTACTTTCCCTTCTTCTGTGCACATTTAAACAACATGGTTACTAATCCGGAATCTGTCGAAAGAAACCCCTTGCCAAGCTCCCAAGGAGATTCTGCAGACACTTAGCCAACATTCGCATCAACATTTCATGCCTGGATTCACTTGTTGTCAGAGTTTGCTTTAATTGATTGACTGATATGCTGCCCAAATAGCTAAGGGCTCTCCAGGCAGCTTACATAAGGAGTAAAATCAACAATATACTAAAACAAACGTGTCCGTAAAATGAATAGTAATAAAAAACTAGTAAGAAAAAATGAATAGCTAAATAATACATTAATAAACTGAGAGGGGATATAAAGCAGTTATCCAATAATACAGCATAATTCACAACCAAAATTAAAAAAACCATAGTTACAAGCTAAAAAGGTAGCAGCAAATAAATTGAAAACCAGAGCCTGACAGGGTCTCCAAAATAAGCAGAGAGCAAAAAGGTCTTCAGCTGGCTTTTGAAGGAGCACAGTGTCGATATCAGCCTAATTTCTTGCGGGGTCAAATTCCATAAATGGGGGGCAATGCAGACGAATGCCCCCCTCCTTGCCAACTCTTCCCTCCCTGCCCTTGTAGGAGGAATGCTGAGGAGGGCCTTGGATGCTGACCACATTGACCGGCAGGGTATATAGACAGGAAGGTGCTCTGCTCCTTCAGCTAGCCTGGCTCCAAGCCATTTAGGGTCTTGTGCGTTATTGCAAGCACTTTAAATTGAGGCACGCAGCAACCAGCAGCCAGTGCGGCCTGCGTAGGACCAGCCTGATGTGCTCACAAGCGCCAGTCCTCGTGAGCAGCCACACCACCCAAGTTTGAACAAGCTGGAACGCCTGGGCCATCGCCACGGAAGCCTCGTGTAGAGCACACTGCAGCCATCCAAGCAGATGGCCAGTGCGTGGATACCCACGGCCAGGTTCCACTCACCCAGGCGGGGATGCAGCTGATACATCAGCTGCAGCTGATGAGAAGCACTCCTAGATAAGAGCCCACCTGAGCGACAAGTGACACACTGCGAACCTTCTCCATCAAGTGACAGGAAGAAATCCTATGCGTATTCACACAGAAAAATGGCCTGCAACATGGCTGGGTAGGGAATTCAGGATGTTGAAGGAACGTTTCTTATCCCAACATGCATGGGCTGGTGATATTTTTGGTCTTGCCCTCTTTGCCATTGTCCTCAACTCCCCCCTCCCCCAAACATGGTCTCCAAGCACTGCTCCAGAACGGTATTCCTATATCCATGGCACATCCCAGCAACATAATCTGGTAATCTGAAGCCAAGCATGGTGGCTTCCAGGCTCACACACTTGACTATACACTCAAGAACAATTCAGCCCAAACTCTCAAATGCTCTCACCCATCGAAGGAAGAGCTGGTGCAGTCATAAACCATCTCGCGGTTCCCCTTCATCTGCAGGTAGGAATCGCAGTTGTCACAACCATCAAATTCAAACTGGTCAATGGTCTGGAGAGGACAGAGAAATTTATCAGAAAGAGAAAGTGCTCACAGAGCTGGCACTATTTGAAAGGAAGCAAAGCAAAGACTATGTCTGGAATGCAGCCTATGCTATTTTAGTGGTGGTGGTGAGAGCCAGAGGACTCAGGCTGACCTGGGTTCGAGTCCCCGCTCAGCCATGGAGCCCACTGGGTGACTTTGGGTCAGTCACAGACTCTCAGCCCAGCCTACTTCACAGGGTTGTCGTCGTTGGGATAAAACTGAGAAAAGTTGGAGAAGAAAGATGTAAACCACATTGAGTTTGTTATATTTGTTTGTTTTTATGTAAGTCATCCTGAGGCTATGCGATGGGACAACATACAAATACAATAAATAAATTTATATTTGGCTTTTATCTTATAATTCCTTACTTGTCATTCCAGGGAACAAAATTCACCCTGAAGACCTTCAGGATGTGTAATTTTCCCCATGAAAGAGTCTCTCAAATTCTCCCCACCTGGTGTTACAAAATGTGCCTGATATTCACACTGAACATTCATCAACAGTAGTCAGAATAAAATACATTAAGACAAACTATGTATTAAAAAGGCACATTAGCTCAAAAGGAGAATCATGGAATAGCAAAGCTGGAAGAGGCCAGGGGGCCATAAGGTCCTACCCCTGGCTCAATGCAGGACCCCCAGTTAAACCATTGCCTCTTGAACGCCTCCAGGTGGGAGAGCCCACAACTTCACTAGGTCATTCCAGTGCTGCTCTAAGAGTCGGGAATTTTTTCCTGAAATCTAGCCTGAATCCGGCTACTTGTAACTTTGACCGAATGCGGCAGCCTTGGGGCTCTTCTGATGTTCTCCGAAAAGATAACTACCCAACATTTTCTTCAAGATATCTCTATACAGTTAGTCCGTTGCATCCCCTGATGAATTTGCATTAATGCTGACCGCGTCTACCCCTGAGTTATCGCCGCGTTGCGATTTACGCAATATTAAGCTAAAAACATTAAGAGTCGCGCCACTGGTCATGCCTAACTGAGGCGCCGAGCACTTCAGTGGGCGGAACCCTAAACACGACCGAGCCCGGATCCCATCCTCGAGCTCCCCGCTCCGGCCAGGGACGTGCTCGGCGCTGTACCGAGCGTTCACCGAGAGACTTTCGGGTCATTGCCGGAAGCAGAAGTGGGCTCCGAGCGCGCTCCGCTCCTCCAGTACCTTGACGAGGGAACACAGCAAACAGGCCCGCAAATGTCGGAGGTCTTTCGGCACCGTCTCAAACGCCATGGCCGCCACCAGCACCGAGGCGGCGATGGCGAACCGGCAGGAGGAAATGGAGAGGGCCCTGCGCGTCACTTCCTCTGCGACGGCGCCGCACAGCCACTTCCGCCCGCGAGGCCCGCTCTGCCCTCGCGCGGGCTCTATGGCCCCGCCGGCGGACCCCGCCCTCTTCGCGGGCCACCTCGCGCATGCGCAGGAGCCGCTCTGGGGCTCCTCCCGGGCCCTGGTCGGCGGAGATTGATTATTCATCTATTTATTTGGGACGCTTATATGCCGCCCCATTCGCAAAAGCCTCGGGGCGGCTTCCAATACAAATAAATAACTATACAATTACACTAAAAATCTGGAGACATCCCGGCAGAGATATAAAATCAAGTAAGTTCGACAATTACAAAAAGGTTTAAATGAAAAGGTCTTGGCCTGGCGCCGAAAAACAAACGACGACGGCGCCAGGCGGACCTCTCTGGGGAGCGCCTTCCGTAAGTGCAATCACTTCTAATCACTTACTATTAATCGCCTCGCTGCCCGAGCCTCGTTTGCCCCGTGGCCGGGCGGCCCCGGCGGCCCGTAATAACGCACAGCGCTGTTCTGAGAATGCAACGCTGCGAGGCGCACGCGGGACTCCCCTGCGCGGGTGTCCCAGGCGGGCGCTTGCGGGCCGGCGCCGCCTGCCCCCCGGCCCCTGGGCGGGCGCTGCTGCCGGCCCGTGTCGGCAGCGCTGGACCAGCCGGGCCAAGCCGGGGCCGGCGCTCCTGCTTCGAACGGGCCTCGATTCACGGCCGCGAGGGCTGGAGTTACTTCGCAGGCACAGGGGCCGGGCGGGTGGCCAGGGCCGGATTCTGCCCCAGGCCCTGCCAAGCAGCCACAGCTGCTGCAGGCATTGCTGGCAGCGGGCCTGGCTGGACGGGCCAAAGCCCGGCCTCGTCCGAAGGCAGCCGACTCAACCACTGGAAAGCCGCTGATGCACCCGGGGCGCAGAGGGCGGTTGCGAGGAAACCGAGGCCCACCGCGGCTTGCCATCTCCAAGCCCTTTCAGAGGCGGGGGCCGCCATGTCACAAGCCAGGAAGGCTTGGCCGCCTGCCGTCTCGCCAACTCGAAGCACGCCCCGATCCCCTTCACGCGCGTCCTGGGCCAGTATACAGAGGTGAAAAATAATTTATTTCTGCGGATGAGGAAGAGGCATTTCTTGAACATAGGCACCCAATAAGAAAAATACAGAAACAAACGGCCGCATGAACAGCTTTACACGTGGATAAATATATTAGCAAAATAAATAAGTCTGAGCATGTCCCCATATTCAAACAATCTCTCTTCAACATAAATATAACGTTTTGCATAGGTAATATATACATAAACATAATTTCTTCCTTTTTTCTTTTTGGTTTAGAAAAGTACCCAAGTGCCTGAAAAGTTGACTCAGGAAATTTAATTTAAAAATACAAAAATAAACTCCTTGTTCACATTTCAAAGGGTCTGAGGTTGCTGGGAAGGAGCAGAGCAGAGCAGAGCTTGATGGAAAGGATGTCGAAAGGAAAGGTGGCGCATCAACATTGAAACCTTTTGTTCATTAGTGAATAGGTTTCCACCTGAAAGATGTGAACCTGAATGCAAACAGATGAGCCTGGAGCCCCACGTCCCGTGCTTTTCTTCCTCTTGATATACCATTTCTGTGTGGACTCCAACCAAAGGCAGAACTGAAGTCCAAAACAATCCCCTCAAAACAAGGATGCCTTCCATGGCATTGGAGAGACGATCTGGAAATGCTAAAAAGGGGCTCAGCAATTTGGCATCTTCGTGTTTCTGCCCCGGAAACTCATTTCCACTTTAGAGCAACTTCTGGAAGAAAAAGGAGTAGGGCCACCCCGCCTTTTCTGCTCTTGCTGCAAGGTGCCATACATTGCACGTTCCACCCTCCCAGCGTGGTAGAAATGGAAGGTGTCCCACAGAGCCACCCCGACAGCAGTGGCGATCGCTCCCCGGAAAGCATGGCCCATCAGAGCAGCCTCCCTCGGCCGTGTGGCTCTCTGAATGTGTTGGACTGCGACTGGGAATGATGGGAGTCACAGTTCAACACACCGGGGGGGACCAAGCTGAGGAACCCGTTTGTGCCACAAGCACGAGGGCCCAGCGGGACCACCAAGAGCCTCTGGGGGCACAACCCTTCGCATGCTTAGGCAGGAGAAAGGGCTTCAGGCCCCCCGAGATGGGAAGCTCCCGCCTACAGTGTTTTAAGTGTATCTCAGGGTGGGATCCTGAAAAACGCCCCTGACTTTTCTCACATTTGTCACATGTCCCAAGTGAGTTGCCACCCGCCTAATGCAGGTGTCACAGCACCTTCTTGCTACGTGTTGCTAAATATCATACGGGGAAGGAGACTGTCGCAACGAAGAACCGTTGGGCGGAGCCCAAAGGAGGCAGCCCGGCAGCCATTTCCACGATCGACAACACTCTTCCAGATCCAGGCTGCCATCCTGAATGGCAGCTTTATATAAGGGCAGCTCAGTCTGTGCTATTTCCCTGAACGTCCTCGCCGTGTCTGAAAGACACAAACCGAAGATGGATGAGCGACAACTGAAGTCCTACGGATGAGACCTCTGGCCAGCCTGTGCAACGCGATCGAGATGGCCGAGGCGCCACTGGCGCTTTGCCGGCAAGGCATCCGTGGCAGCTCGCAGACCATGCTCCCTTCGCACGGGTCGCAGCCTCGCTCAGCTCCCAAGAGCGCCTGCGCACTTCCCTCGTCCCAGAGCCCTCGAGGAGGGCAGTGCTTCCCCACTTTTCTCAGAAGCCTGGCAATGCTCTGGGCAGCAAATGTCCTCACGTACAGGATGGAGCTGCGAGCACTGCTGCAGCAAAGCTTTCTGCAACTTGCATGCTAGCATGACAGGTCTGTTCGGCACGCTCCCCTCCCGCTGCGGCCCCACCACCAGGTTTCGGGCAAGTCCACGCACAGGCGAGGCCCTCTTCGGACGCTGGGAGAGGTGGCCGTGCCCGCCATTTCTCCGCGAGAAGAATCCCTGACGGCACCTCTCTCTCGCCACGCGGGGGCGCACCGACAGCAGCATTGCACATGCGGCAAACATGCTGTGGGAAAGCAGACGGCTCGCGGGTGGCCTCGCGCGCTGTGCCGGGAACGACTCCGCCAGGAGTTCTGCTGTACCGTTGTGTCTCTGCAAAGCGCACCCTCTTCTCAGGTGTTGAGAATTGAGGAGGAGGCTCCTGTGGGCTGAACGAGGTCCTTGCTTCGATTACAACTTGCCAAATGCCTGTCTGTATCCCCCATAGCTGCGAGAAGCCCTTGCGAAAAATGAACACACAGCTGCTTGCTCTACCCAATGCAGCCCCTTCCCTTCCATCTCCAAAAGGTGGGGTTTTCCAGCAAAATGCAAACACGGAGCCTGAGAAATCGAAATTCTGCCAGGCGGGAACCACTCCCTGCCAGCTGGATGGCCCCCTTCCTTTCCCTGGCCCCCAGACACGGGCCTCATGGTGGTCTCTCGGCTTTTGTGGAGCCCCCACCCCACCATTCTGACAGGTACTTTAAGCTAAAATGTGCTGGCAAGGTGTGCTATTTCTGACCATATCCCCTTTGATCTCAGGCTCTGCACACCACTGGAATATGGCCCAGTTCTCCAGAACTGGTCCGTGAGCTGGACAAGACCCAGTGTTCCAGGCAGGGGTGGAGGAGCCGGGCCGCTGCGCCTCATCCAGTGTTTGGAGTGGCCCAGGAGGGGAAAAGCCATGAACCAGGACGTGCATCTGGTACCTGCAATGCTCAAGAACTGAGCAGAGCTGGGCTGCTCATGCCGGAAAGAGGCACACCCGGCCCACAGTGAATGTCGGAGCCCTGCCTCGCCCCATGGCGCCTTCTGCATGAAGGGCCCAGTGCGTGTGCCTTTCATGCCTCCAGCTTGGGGCCCATCAAGACAGGAGAAAAGGTCCCATCCATCCTGTGCAGGCCCCTGTGCAGACAGGGCTGGAGTGTCTGCCGGTGGGCCTTGGGCGGGGTGGCCGGGACAGCGGGGCTTCTGGTTCCAACAAGAACACCTGCCCAGAACCAGCTCAGAACGAGGGAGGGAGGTGGCACGGGATGGGGGTGCCCACATTTATGCCTGGCGTGCAGAAGGTGGGCGGAGGCATTTTTCTCCGTCCTCTTGCCCGTCTTGGCTCATCCCGCAAAACTGATGGGCATGAGATTCGGGACAGGGCGATCCCAGTGCAGTCACACGGTGGAGTTCACGAGGGAACGGCCGCCTCTTTGGGCGGCATCACAGCAGGGCTGGAGTCGTTCATGGGGTCCGAGATCAGTGGCAGGGGACGTGGGTGAGGTGGTGGCCCGTGTGGGAACGGAGCAGGAGCCTGGGCGGGCCGGGCCACTGGTTTCAGACCCCTTGGAAGGGTCCTCTCGGATCCTTGGAAGCTCTCAAGGCCACCAGGTCGCCCCACCCACCTGGACTGCAGAAGGGAAACCCGGAGGGCTGCGCTGGGCCGGCTGGCCAGCCGGTGGGACCTCGAACGGGATCGCAGCTGCTCTTGGGGGGCCCAGGCGTCCGAGCCTGGAAGAACCGGGGCCTGCACACAAAAGGGCCTGCTCATCTTTGGCATTCAAGGAAACGAACCTGGCGGACAGAGGAGCCGTGCAGCAGGGAGACAGGAGTGCCGTGGGAGACGGTTCTGCTCCCGTCCTGGAAACTCTGAACTATCTCGCTCCTCTCCCTTCCACCCCAGCAAAGACAGCCAGGACTACCCGCTCCAGAGAAGGGAGCCACCCTCCCGGCGACATCGCCTGCGAACGGCAAGTGAGACTGGCAGGCCCGCGTGGGGCCAGGGACGGTGTGGTTGAGGCCGAGGCGGGCGATGGGGGGGGCATCTGTACAGGGGGCACCAAAAGAGCAACTGCTGCCCCAGGGACATGGGTAACTTGCTTCAAAGTCCGTTTCTCACTGTGCTTCTGGACACTTCTGCTCGTTCAGCCTGTCCAACACAGCCGGAGAAGCTCCTTCCCCGTCACACGGAATGCTCGAACACACCCGGGCCGTCTTCTTTTGCTCCTGTGG